CCCGTTCTGCCTGCCGCCGACGAGCCTGAAGTTTACAATCCTCTGTTGTCGCAGTGATATTCTCCTTGTGAGGTCTCTACAAAACAAAGGAGTAGTATATAAAAGGGGGCTCTTAGCTCAGATTTTTTATACCCCTATTTTTTTATACTAAAATATGACAATTTTTGCATAAATTTTGATTTTCCCTCTTTTTGAGGCGTTGATTTTTGTTAAATCCAAGAACATCTAGCTTACATTTTACCTCAACAAATTTCAACGTGTTATTATTAATGTTATTATTATTAATCATGTAAAAAACGTATTTCAATAAGATTCTTATTTTTACGAGTCTTGTAACAGCATACGTATAGCATTGAAGCAAACATACATTGATAACGCGTTATCTTAAGTACTGTGCAGGTGTCTTCGTCGCATGACGCGTTATCTCAAGTGGGTATAATAATAATAATAATAATAATAATAATAATAATAATAAAAATGTCTTTATTAATGGCGAGGCTCAGGCCATAGGGCCTGCTCTTCCGCCTAACCACTGAAATTTACATACATTTAGAATAGTAACATTTTAAGAGGGGATGACAAGCTGTACATTTACGTCTGGGAGAACAAACCTAGGGACCATCCCGGCATACGCCTTAAGCGATTGAGTAAACCCAGAAAAACCTCAATTAGGATGGCGGCTTAGGGCCGAACATTAATAGTACTGAGTTTCACTACCTTTCACTACTATATATATATATACAATATATAAAAACAAGACAAATATCAAATATTTATGAATAAATGTAATAATCCTAAAAATGATATTATTTCATTTATAAGTCATTATTTCATTTATATTATAATATCACTTGACGATTGTGAAAAAATTCATTAGTATTATTTGATGATTACATATTAGAGAATCAAGATATTGTAAGAGAATATTTTACACGTGGTAGGCATAAAGGTATTGATTGTTGGTATTTAGCAGAAAGATATTCAAAAATTCCTTAAAAAATTATTATTTTGGTTATAATTTATTTCCAATACCATCAACACCATCAGAATCTTCGTTTGAAAACAAAGTATATGAATCACCAGATACAAAAACATTAGAATTGGAAAAACAATTAAAAGCATTAGAAGATCAAGAAAAGATACATTTAAACACGAAAATTACACATTTAGGACCTAAATTAACTGAATATCTTAATCATGCTAATGGTCATACTTTTCGTTTAAGACCTGTTGGTAAATATAAATATATTGGTGATGCAAAAGTTCAATTTCATAATGATACAAGGAAAAATATGAAGGTACTGATGGATTATTAGGTCTATTTATAAGTAAATCATTATCAGATATTGAAAACATCTGAATATTTAGAAAATTATGAAGATATTGCAAATAAAACATCTTATATTTAAAGATTACAATCCAAATACTAATCAAATTCGATCATGTATTCCCGAAAAATTGAATAAGATATTAAAAAATTATGGCCAGAACAAAGAAACAAAGAACAAAATGAGTTACATCACCAAAAACTGGTATGGGTGTTATTAAAAAATATAATGAAAAAACTATGGAATATATTTGAATGAATGATGTATAAGAACTCATAGATAGATTATTAGTAATACATGGTGAAGAAAAAGCTAGAAATGATAACTTTAATAATGAAAAAGTAAGTATCATTCAGATGCTAAGAGGTACATTTCAAGATTTTAGTACTCATAATCCTAAAGGAATTCCATACCTCATACGTTTTTTACATACATACTATACCACATACACTTTGGAAATCTGAAAAACCTGGTGCTGGAATTTTAAATTGGGCAATTAATAATTTACCAATTGAATTACATTTACCAGGTTATAATTATTGTGGTACTGATTTTAAAAACAATATTAGAACGAGGTGATAAAAGCATAAATCCATTAGATAAAGCATGTAAATATGATATTGCTTATAGAGATCATAAAGATTTAGAATCTAGACATCAAGCTGATAAAATATTACAAAATGAAACTAAAATACAAATATTTAGTAAAGATGCTGATTTAAAAGGAAGAATGTTTAATACTGCATTTTCTGGTATTATGTTTGCTAAAACAAAATTAGGTATGGGAATAGAAGAAAATTGGGAATATAATACTTTTTACATATTAAAAATGTCGAGAGTGAAATTTTTAACATTTATATTATCACCAGATGATGTTAGAAATATTAACTTTGATGATATTTTATCATCTAAACAAATAAAACATAAAAATACTAAACTAATACTAATATAAAAAAGGATCTGGTATGTCATTAAATTTATCCATTCCATCTATAAAAAAGTTACAATCTAGAAAATATGGTGGATTTATTGGAGCTCTATTAGCAGCACTAGGACCATTAATAAGTGGTGTTCAATCATATAAAAATGCTGCATTAGAAGAAATAAAACGTCATAATTTAGAAATGGAAAAAAGTTACAGATATTAAAAAACATACCAATCTTAAAAAAACAACCCTATTACCATATTATTAACATTAATAAATAAATATCCATATGCAGAAAGTAATTATGGCATCATACAATGTGTTAAATATTTTAAAATTCCATATTTTCGAGGTATATTTATGATTGATGAATGTCCAAAAATCTTACATAAAAACGAATGTGGTGTTGTAAATATAGATACATCTGAAAATAGTGGAACACATTGGAACACAATTAGTTTATTATCTATGATTGAAACAATTATATTATAATGCTGAAAGAATTCAAAATTTTAATAAATATATTTGTGGTCATGTGTGTATATTTGTATTAAAAATGATATTTATGAATTATACATATTCGGAAATTTCAAATATAATATATGCCACACGATATATATGGTCTAAATAATGATTTAGTAGAACAATTAAATAAACAAATCGAAGATACCGAATCACTTATATCATCTTTACCTATCATTGGTACATCAGGAAATTTTAATTATCATAATAAATTATTATGTAAAGTAAGTGGTGGAATAGATGATGTAACAATGAAACAACTCAATAATTTAGTAACACAATTGTAAAATTAACAATAAAAACAAATATTTATTTAAAAGATTTAATTCTTAATGTACAATCATTAGGTGTAGGTGAGAAAACTCGATTCAATCATTTAAAATTACCATTTGTTTTTAATAAAGGTGTTAAACCACAAGATTCAAGTTGGGCACCAGGCTATCAATTATCCTTCCATAACATACTTTGAAAATAATAAATGCCACACGATATATATGGTATGAATGAATCTAAAGATAAAGAATGTACTTCATATTATAAAATATTACATAAAGTAGCTGCTGGAATAAATGATGTTGTAAATGTTAAACAGTGAAAAAATATTGTACATATTATTCTAGTTTCTATTCAAGATTATGATGCAGTTAATTTACGATATTTAAAAAATAATGTATTTATGTGTGTGAATATACATGCATCATTGACAAATAATACAGAATTTAAATTTCATATATCTGGCCATACATATATTGAAGTTCCATATAATGTGCAAGTCACAAATATTCTAGAAATATTGATATAAAATATATTTATGTCTTGATTACATCGAAAGACGGCGAAAAAAATTATATTGTAAGAAAAAGTTTCAATTTAAACCCCGTACTAGAAAAGTTGATATTATAGAAATTTAGGAATTGTTTACCAATTTGAATTTTCCCAAGACCTGAAAACCCGACCAAACATCTCCCACCCATAAGCCAACGATATATACTACATTTATTCCTGGGACTACAAACAAGGGACCATCCCGGCATGCGCCTTAAGCGATTGAGTAAACCCAGGTAAACCTCAATCAGAATGGCGGGTTAAGGCCAAGACACATACTCTGTCAAAAATAGTAAACACGTTAGCAATTTCAGTGCACACAAAAATACAACAAAAAAAGAAACGAAAACATTTTGAATTGAATATTATGTCTTAACAATGGTGATATTTGTAAGAAGCGATGAACTGAAACAAAATGATTGCAAATTAGTAAAACACGTCTAGACAAAATTTTAAATCACATGAATTATATTTTGAATACAAGCACATGTGGGCAAATGCACGTATGCATATTACATCAATGAGTTGCGCAAATGAGCAATTGCACAAATGCAAAATCACGTACTCAAAAACACATTTTTGTTCTGTAATAAAAGTGATGTATGTGTTGAGAGGTTGGATTTATATAGGTTATTTAAACACGTTTGGGAGTGTACAAGTAGGTTTTAATGACAAATAGCTAGAATACAGACTGTTCAAATTATTTAATAAGGATAAATGTAAATGTGACTTAATAAGGGTAAGTGCAAAATTAAACGAAAGTTAAATAATTAAAATAATAGGATTGAATTTAGACGAAAGAAAGAGTTAAATAACCTAGAATGGAAATTAAAAGTAAGAGAGAAAGGAAACAAAGAAACGATGGATTTTAGTGATTCAAAGTAAGAGAGAGAGCAAGAAAGAGAGAGGAAGAGAAAGGAGGAAAGAGGGGAGAGAGGAAGAGAAAGAAAGAGAAATAATATGGGAAAGGATAGAGGATGAGATGAAAGTGTTTATTTGGAAAATGGAGAACAGTGTAAGATAGGTAAAGTTGGGATAAGAAAGGGATTCGTCACAGCTCTGAAACAGCACGGCGTCCACCCACTTCTCAGTTTTTGCAGACGAGCAGTGGCAATGTCGTTAAGTAGTATTTTCATGAATCCAGCTTGTGACTTCTTTTTTTAACTTTTGAAATGTACGACTATTTTTTATAGAGGAAGGAAGATTGTTCCAAGCACGAATGGCAGTAAGAGTGAATGATTTGCTAAAAGTAGAGGTATTGTGGTGAGAGATACAAATAAGGCGTGACGCTCGGGCACGATGTAGTTTCATAATCTCATAATCTCATAGTTTCTCAATCATAGTTTGAAATCGTTGTGAGAGAGTGGTATGATGAGCGCTGTTTAAAATCTTGTAGAGAAGGCAAAGAAGTAAATGCCTTTTATCAACGGTAAGAATTTTTGAATCCGCGTAAAAAGTTGAAATATGATCGTACTTTTTAAGGTCGAAAATAAAACGAATGCATGCATTTTGACCTACTTGTAATTTACGTTGCTGTTTAAAATTTATGTCAGTCAATAAGAAATCGCAGTAATCAAAATGAGGCATATGGAGGGATTGTACCAAAATCTGACGAGTTTTTGTAGGTAAAAGAGTTCGCATGCGTTTCAAAACATGCAGGGACGCGAACACTTTTTGACAGATTTTATCAATTTGAACATTCCATCGGAGAGAGTATTAGAGTATTATCCATTTGCACACCTAAATTTTTCACGTCGTTACACCACGGTAGAGGAGTTCCATTTATGCAAATATCAGAGAGAGTGGAAAGTGTTGCTGTCGTCTTCCGAATATATGAATCCACTTCTTACGGGGCGTAAGGGCTGGCTTCGATACCAAAACGCCTGGGACACGCCCCCGGAAGGGGCCGAAACGGCGAGGCGGAAGCGTCAGGGTTTTTTGTGGAGCGCCGGCGGTCTGGTCGACACCTGAATACAAATAAGTTCTACTCGAATCCTTTTGAACTTGGGCGTTCCCCTTCTGTCGGCGTTTCCATCGCAGAATGCTGAACGACGCAGAAACCAAGCCGCGAAAGCTCTTTTTTAGGGGTCAACGTGTACCCCAACCCACTGCAGAACACCGCGGGCCGGCCTCGCGAAAATAAACGCCGTCGGAGCCCCGGGAGTCGGTCGGCTTCTGGGTGTCTCTGACAAACGCTCGCGCCCGCGTCTGGCGGCCGGGTGGGAATCAACGCGCCGGCACACTCTTCGGAGTCGGCGGGTGTCGGTTAATTTTTTCGGCTAACTTGTCTTTTCTGACGAGTATGCTGAACGAAAGTGTTGCTGCTGTCGTCTTCCGCGTCTACATCAGAGTCCACAAAATCTGAAGAATTTTCTTCCGCTTCACTACAAATAAATTCTTCATCAGAATCACTTTTTGTATTACCTTCACTAAGTTCTTGTAGAAGTTTCAGTATATCTACGTCTTCCAAACTATCCATTTTGTTGTCGCTACTTAACATTTCCACACTGTAGAAACGCTCTCTAAAGTAGAACGACAAAAAAGTGGAAAGTGGAAAGAACGACAAGAATGAGTGTGGAATAACTTTTTCGATCAGATAGCGTCCGTTACTATTTCAATAGATCGATTTTTTTCGATTCACGAAGGTGTCTCATTGTTAAATGGTGATCTTATCTCGAAATATGAACGAAAAGTTGCTGTCATCTCTGAGAACCCCTCCGATTGAACCAACGAATTGACGCTGTCATCTGAGAGATGCCCTCCGACCTGTAGGACGAGCCACCGTCCCGAGGTCTCCGACCTAAGCGCCGTCGACGCCATGTCATCATATAGATGCCTTTCGACATGTAGGACGTTTAGCTTATGAAAGCTAACCATAAAGGGTTAATATTGTACGTACGACGTAGTCCGTCAGGCGTCAAGAGGACCGCCAGGTAGCATCTCCGCATACGTGCTCCTCTCTTGTGCGCTCCTGCGTCCCTACCCAGCAGCCAGAATTGGATAGGGGTAGAGTTGAGGACACGTAACAGGGGTTGGACTAGCCTTTGTGAAACAGCCGTACCTAAAGAAGCGACTGCGTTTTGTTGAAACAAGTTTTTCATGCGATTGTCCAGGAATTGATGGGAATCGAACCCGGACCTCATTGGTGAAAGGCGTGCGACTGAGCGACGTCTGAGCTATGAGGCGTTTACATTGATTAGAAAAAATGTCGTTATGTTACGCATTCAAAATTATTTCGAATGCAGTCAGCCCAATTGATCGTTGTGTATATTTCGGGTAGGTTCATTTACGATTAAGACATAGCATAATATTCTAGCGAAAGACTTCCTATAGCTCCCAGACTCTTAGATTATAGAAAAGAATATTGTACAAATAATAAACAAATCCCACCTACATGTTTCTTGTCTCTCTTTATTAAGCTGGGAATTCTATCATTGCCTGGCCTCTTGATTTACGAATCAGATTTTTTTGTCAAAACTGACTTCTCAAGAATTTGAACATATTTTCAGCCAGTACAAAGTCTATAACTATAACACTCGTCGTAATCATATTCATCAGCAACTATTTCAACAGCACTCCACAAAAATAGCGCATACATTATTTTATAACTCTGCCAGATGACATTAAACGACAAAAATCCATACACGGGTTCAAGTGCTAATTAAAATAATTTCGGCAGCATAACAATTTCTATACATTTGAACACCATAAAGGAAAATAATAATTTAACAATAAAATTTAACGTGTTCATTACCATTTGAGTTATTTTTTTTTAAAGACCAAATATGTCATGCCTCTACTGCAATGGCCCCCCTCTCGATTACTTTTTTCTTCCAGTTTCCTTGATCCTTTGAGCAACCGCTGAGATGGCTCCTTGTTTTGCTTCTAAAGATAAAATGTTGCTTCACTATCTGTGGACGCGAGGGCTTTTATTCTTCATGTACTGGCGGTTCTCACTCGTCTCACCACGTTCTTGTCGATTCCTTTACGAAGGTCATAAAAAATGATAACATTAAAAATCTGTAGCTTATTTGCCTTTGAAATGTTTTATATTACAGAAATGTCAAAAACGCTCGTTGATATCTGTATTCATAAATCAACTTAATATGTATGTGGGTAGGGAGGCTAGGGATCTTTGAGCTCAAGAAAACATGCATTGATTGCACTTCTTTCCATAATATATTAAACAGTTTTTAACTATATTTGTTGTTAAATAAGTAAATAACGTCGCTACAGTTTTGTTCTTTTGTGTTTTATAACTAAATTTCATCTCTCAACGATAGACGCGGAGAATCGCCCAAATATTGACTAATCATCACACCATCTACGGTCGCGCGAAAGAATCCAGTAGGAATGTGAAATGAAACAGAGAATCGCGAGACTGACACAGCTTAAGTAAGGGCCCACGAGTTAATCCATGCCCGAATGCTTTATCCTAACGCAAAGAGCGCGCACTGATACTTTGCCCTTGGTGCGCAGCGGGAGTGGCACGACGCGGAAGGCCGACGGTGGCGCGCCACGGCGGCCGTTTCCAGGCAGCAACTGCGGTATTCCACCACCGACTCCTTTAATTGGACCAGACACCAGCCGGTGACACGGGCGAGAAACCCTACAAATGGCACACTCTGCCCCTTCTCTGCG